TTATGCTGTACAAATCTTAAAGTGATGTCTGCGGCAATAGGAAATGCTCACAAAAATCTCTGGGGAATCTGCAATATATAAACATTTAAACACACTATTTTTATTTCATTTACTACTAACAGTTAAAAGTTAACAAAGACCTGCTGCAAGGGAATTCATCTTTAGAAATTGAAGAAAATTGTGTCTACTGTCATAATTTAATCTGAAAAAAATTAGGTTTGTAAAGAAATCTGAATATTTTGGACCAATACTGTATTATGAAGTAAATGGAACAGAGGTAAAGTAAATGAGCTGGGTGCACATCTAGAATAAAGAGAAATAATGAACTACTCCAAACACAGCAATTCAAAGCAGCAAGAACTTTCAGAAGGGACTGTAACCTTTGTTAACACAAAGAATATATACTTAAAAAAACAATATGCACGTTTTCAGTCAATCAAAATACTGTACTTAGCCCTTATGGTACAACATCTGCATCCATTCTTGTCTCTACAATCCAGAGTTAAACAAAATCAGATTCTGTTCAGTATAACACAAGTACTTTTAACACATACAGTTTTGTGCAGTATTTTAATTGAAATTAAATAAATTTTATAGCCCTAATGAAGAAATGGCCTGGGCCCTTTCTTTTCCAAACTTGGAACCTGTTCTAAAGCATTGGTGCCGTTAGTAATTATAAAGAGTCCTACCTCTTGGGAATACAGAATGAATTTAGCAGATACTATTTTAAGGGAATATCTGAACATTTTATTTTTGTTAATTCAAAGTAAATAATGAATGTGCCTTAGAATTTTACTTGGTCTTTAGAGAAGTATATTTTAAATAAAGGAGGATCAAAATTGATTATCTGGTTTAGCGGTTCCCAACTTTGGGCAACCCAGATGTTCTTGAGCTGCAATTCACAACAAACCCTGGTGAGCATAACTGGTCAAGGCTTCTGGGAACTGAAGTCCAAGAACTCTGAGTTGCTCAAGGTAGGGAACCACTGATCTACTTGATTCTTTGGGTAGGCGGGGGTGTTTGAGCTCCATTCCTTAATTTAAAAAAAAAATCTACAGGAGTCAGTAAAATATCGGTATAGTAAATAGGATCTGATTTCATTTTTCTTCTATACTTAAAAAACCTGCAGTGGGAAAACACTGTGCATTGAACAGTAGGCTAACATTATCTATCTATCTATCTATCTATCTATCTATCTTTTAAAAAGCCTGCAATGGGAAAACACTGTGCATTGAACACTAGGCTAACTTTATTTATTTATTTATTTATTATCTTATCTATCTTATCTATCTTATCTATCTATCTATCTATCTATCTATCTATCTATCTATCTATCTATCTATCTATCTATCTATCTATCTATCTATCTATCTATCTATCTAATATGCCTTCCACACTACCAAAAGGTCTCTGGGGGCTTACAACAGTGATCTGTTGCATGTACTTTATTTACTCTGCATTTATTTAATGATCTGTTGCATTTCGCACAAGGTACAATGATTCATGTAATCAAGATACCTCCATATTTCAGATCATTACTTCTATACCCCTCAACGTTGCTGAAGAAAAAATGCTGAACAAACTACTATCTTTATAAATGAGAGGATTCACTTTTAAAGAATGTTGGTCAATGAACTTGGAGATTATAATAGCTTGTTATAAGGAAATTGGGCATTATTTGCTTCTGTATTTCAGATCATTTAGCATTTTTGAGAAATGCAAACAGAAGTAATCAGAGTATATGGGGAAGACTGGCTGAGCATAGTAAACAAGCAAGCACAGTAGGCCCACTTGCATCAATGGAATGTACAGAAGAGTACACTCACCAAATCCTCATTGATTCAATAGGCCTATTCTAGTTACGAGTTACTTCATTAAGCAACAGGAATTTAGCCACTGGTGTCATTGTCTAAGAATACAATTAAAATAAGTAGAATAAGAGTCACCAAGGATTTCATTCAAAAATGTATTAAACTTGGGCTGGATCCACCTAAGCATATGGGTGGAGTACTACAAAAATGAATATCGGAAATATTTAAACAAGGGCTTGGATTCAGGAAAACATATAGTTAATGGTAATGGCAAAATGTGACATTCATGCCACCTCTTCTTCCTGATAGCACACAGAAAGGATCCTATGAGAGTTGAAGAACACATTTAAATGGTGGATGACTCAGTTGTAGGACTTCTGAGCACCCACTAATAGAGGCTCTATCTGTTCTGGATAAAAACAAGCATTCTGGCAGTGAAATATGCTATTTCCTGTTCTTACTACATTTTCCCTCCAGCAAGTGATATCCTTCGTAATGTGTACTTCAACAATTAAACTGAAAACTGAAAAGGAAGCTGGTTCTTTCACTCTAGTGATTAAAATATGCTTTTACAATCAGACATCTTTTGCCACATGAGAGAACACCATTTCTAGATACAGGATCAGTGTCTACTGTAGTTTCACTCTCAGTGTTTGATCCTCCCATTCCTACCCATTTGATTCAACAAAGCCCTTCAATGATGAAGGAGCAGCTTCACAGGGCTGATGAGTGAGGACATGGCAGAGAAGCCAGATTTTTCTAACCTCTTTATGCATCTATTTATCTGGATTCAATCAACTGTTTGAATATTTTTAATATTAATTTTCATAGCATTTAGTTCTATTGAAATGAGATTACTGTCAATACAATCCACAAAGGCATGACAGAACCAGATTAGTAACTGAAGACGTGTCAGAAAGAACAAGGAAAAGACTGTGTGGGCTCCACGATCACACAAATGTACGTGTACATTTTATTGTACCACTAAAAATCGAACAAATTGTAAGCTTTCATTTTACACATATAAATTAGGTGTTTAACTGGATAAGAATATTTTTCATGTATTTTTCATTAGTGTACTGGTATAAGCATTTCTTGTCAAAACAAGACCTTACAAGATCAAAACTAAAAGGGTGAACCCTGCTTGCAATGTAATTGCTGAATTAAACCAGTAAATAAATAAAATTAGCACAGTTGATTTCTAAATCTATTTGTTGTTTAGTCATTAAGTCGTGTCCGACTCTTTGTGACCCCATGGATCAGAGCACGCCAGGCCCGCCTGTCTTCCACTGCCTCCTGGAGTTGGGTCAAATTCATATTGGTGGCTTCAATGACACTGTCCAACCATCTCGTCCTCTGTCGTCCCCTTCTCCTCCTGCCTTCACACTCTCCCAACATCAGGGTCTTTTCCAGGGAGTCTTCTCTTCTTATGAGATGGCCAAAGTATTGGAGCCTCAGTTTCAGCATCTGTCCTTCCAATGAGCACTCAGGGTTGATTTCCTTCAAAATGGATAGGTCTGTTCTCTTTGCAGT